CTCCTCCTCCCCCATCATTTGCGTCGGCACCCTGCCTTTTACGACATGCTTGTTAAAGGGCAACACAAGGGTCAGCGAGTCTGATCTCTCTTCTCCCACATCTCCTCCTCCTCCCCTACCCCCCCCCCCCCGGCCCCTTTTCACCCCCAAAATGAGACTAGTGAAATAAAACACTGGAAAGCTTAAACGTCTTCATTGCTCTTTTTATCTCAATGTGGTATTTTTATTATCCTTCTATTAATTACCATCACTGCAGCTTCCAAATAATTTCTCAAATCCGCCGACTGACCACGTGTCTGTATTCTTGCGCAGTACGTCATTCCATTGAAGTCTCTGTTTCCAGTAGCGTCACATATCCGTCTTCAAAACGATTTCTAACCAGCGCCCTGGCATTTTTGAGCGTAATATTGAAATGTGGCTGTCACACAGAGGTTCCGTTGTAGAACTGGTAATGCTATTGTTTAACAACACCCAGGCTTGCATGCGACACAAAAGCTGCAAGATTAACTGAACCTGGGCGACTTGAAATGGGGGGACGCCTGGTGTCGCGCCAAGATGGCGACACCGATATCTGGTCGGACGTCATTGTGTATGGAAACATGCAGACAACTGAGTTATCGGCCTTTGTTAAGGAACTAGGACTTAGCTTATGCAACGCTACCTACATGACCTATATCTATACAGCCCAACAGGCTAAGGCGATCATGTCACTGCTGGCACAATATGTGAACGGCCGATTCCCAGAATTCCCAGCTGTGACAATAATCAAGAGTCTGCGTGGAGAAGATGGTAAGACATTATCCTCCAGCTGTGAAGGTCGTGGTTTCGTTTCACGAACGGTGTTGCTCGTTTCATAAGTGATTTCTTTGTTTAAACAGTGATGCCCTGAGGTCGAACCAAGAGTTGCGGAGATCGTACTTTGTACGATGCGAAGCTCACTGTAAGCCGCTGCTAGCACCCTGGTCAGTGACCGAGTAATATGGGATGAACCCCAGTGCAATCAAGTCTGTCCTCTTAACTTCGAAATTGATTGTCCATGTGTATGCTCATGATGATCTCCAGCTGAAGCATGTCGTAGGATGTTACAAAGTCGGAATTTTTGGGGATAGAAGACGGTTGGCGGGGGGAGGGGGTGCTAATAAAGCAACAACCATATAGCAGGTGGAGTGTTCCCTCGAAGTCGCCGTATATCTATCTGAAAGACGATGAACCAACAGTTCGTCACGGTAATGTGCCAGATCTGTAACACGAATGTGCCCGCAAAGCATTGGATTAGGATAATGGTACATAAGTGGACACACAGAACAGTCAGACATTTCTGCAGCAGGTTACAGGTTAGGCGAAGTAAAACACTGACTGACAGACAGACAGACAGACAGACAGACAGACAGACAGACAGACAAACAGACGGATAGATACATGGATATATGATGGATAGATGGACAGACAAATAAGAGTGAATACATACGTACTTTACATCGACCCAACTATCAGTTCGATTGTTCCCTTCATCTGTTTATATTTTTTTTACCCCTCCAATTCCCTCCTCCCCTTTCCCACCTCCTTCTATATGTGCATGGGTGGGTGTATGTGACTATCTAAGCGTCCACATATATTTGTTTACAATAGAGACAACTGATCAATGCACCGTTGTCTCCTGGGCAACGCAATAAAAGTCCTCAGTGTAACCAAGCAAACAAACAAGGTAGTCATAGTATAATCAACACATCTAACAGCGGACCAACTGTCCCTGCAGCACTATAGCACACAGCATCGGGGCTCAGGCTTTCTGAATGATCACTGGGGCGGTTGCCAGAACTGTGAGCACTGGAGAACGACTGGGAATAGTATTTCAAACGAATTGGTCCATGTTATCGTTACTGTTGTACCATTTGTCAATGAGATTCGAGAATTATTGAATGAATATCTAGGAGGGCTATCCTACTGACAATATCACTTCTCGAAAACAAATATTATTGCCACATTTGGCGATATGCTAGTTTTGAGAGAGAGAGAGAGAGAGAGAGAGAGAGAGAGAGAGAGAGAGAGAGAGAGAGAGAGAGAGAGAAAGAGAGAGAGGGAGAGGGGGGGGGTTGGTTCATAAAATTATAAAATTGCTATATTGTATGAAATGAACCAAAAGAACAGCTATACTGCAAATGCCTAACCCAGGTGGAAACAGGTATGCTCCGTGCAGCGTGGCAAGCATCACTTCAGAAGTCTCGGGTGGTTAGTATCCTTGAGATATTGTCTCCAGGTCATGCCGGTGTGTGAAATGAGCAGGCAGATAGACTGGCCGGTTCTGCACCACTTGGTGGTGAACTGATGTAAAACAATCTGGACTTTGTAAGGGCCCTCTGGGAGCGAGTGAACAGTGCGCAGGCGCAAATAGATCATTACGGTCTGAGGAGAATGGCGCTGCGAGGAATTACCAGGGGATCTGACCGACGCTCAGTGCTCAAGGGAAAGACGAAACGGATATACAATCAGAGTTACTGGTGCTATGGGAACTAGAACTCTTCGTTTGCTGCTGAAGATTGGGACGAAGCGCTTACGGGGATGTCCCTAACTCTATGATGTCAACTCCTAATTCAACATTCAACATTTTATCTAACCCAGTGGTTCTCAGCCTGTCAAATGCGGCAATCCTTTAATACGGTTCCTGATGTTGTGGCGACACTCAGCCATATAACCATTTTGGCTGTTACTTTATAACTTCAATGAACATGTGGGCTATCCTCCGAATAACGGGCACAAAAGATGACGGCCAATGGCGGCCAAAAACAGGACCTGAGTCACGTGTCAATTTGTGCACCTAATTTGCGGTTTTCCGGCGACTACCACCACCGCCGAGAGTATCCCTCACGCCGCTCACGCGGATTGGGGCTAAACTAGATGGCTAGGACTCACGAGCAAAGCTGCAGGACAAGCGAAAAACCGCAAATTAAGTCGCCGGAAAAGCGCAATTGACACGTGACTGAGGCTCTGTTAGGGTGTTTTTGCGGCCGCCATCTTTTGTGCCCGTTATTTGGGTGATAGCCAATATGTGTTTTCCGATGGTGTTTGGCTACGTGATGGTGACGGGCACCTTTCCGTCTTTCCAGACGCAGACGATGGTGTAGTATTTTATTACGAGGAGGCATGGGACTCACAGCCCATGGCGATGGCTAGTGTGACTAGCAAGACCCGCCCGCGTTAAGAAAAGTCTTCCACAATTCAAGCATGGGATTTCACAACCGTTGTTGCGAACATTTGTGTTCAGTCTGTTTCGTTTTAGACGCTTAGCTCTCATCCTTTCTGCCTTAATTTCGTTCTTCAGTCTCGTCCCCTTTCTGATCCGCTCCCTCCACACAACACAGTCTGTGGCATTTCCCCCCCCCCCCTCATGAGTCCACCTCAATACCTGTATCATTCGTGTCCCCCTAACACATATCTTTATATTGTAGCAGAGGTCGGAATCAACATCTCCATCCCTTCTTTAATTTCCCATAAAGGATGTCCTTCGGGGCTCTGCCGTCCTCCATTCTCCAGGTGTGACCCAGCCACCTGTCTCCACATACTGATCATTGAGAAGACTGTTGTAATACCTGTTCTTTCCAACACCTCAGTGTCTGTGATGATGCGCTGCCACTTAATGCCAAGTATTTTTTTTTAGGCATCGCACTGTCTCTCCTGGTGCAAATAAGTTGACCAAGTTTTAGTGCCAAAAAGCAGAGTGCTGAAAACACAAGCCTGATAGATAAAAGTGAAGTCTTGGCCAAACACTGCTATTCAAAGAGACAATCCAACACCTAAATTCCTAAGCAATCCGTTCAAACTCCAAGAAAATTACGGTTAGGATAGTTGTAATGACTACGCCAAGTAGCTGAACAGGACTCGAGAATAAGAAGAAGACGGAACTGTGGCTTCGAATACGTGGGGTCAAATTATCATCTGCCGAAAGTCTTTGGGGTTTACCAGCCCCGGCGAGATAGAATATACCCACTTCCCCTTCTCAAGCTTGGGGATAGAATATACCCACTTCCCCTTCTCAAGCTTGGGGATAGAATATACCCACTGTCCCTTCTCAAGCTTGGGGATAGAATATACCCACTGTCCCTTCTCAAGCTTGGGGATAGAATATACCCACTGTCCCTTCTCAAGCTTGGGGATAGAATATACCCACTGTCCCTTCCCGAACTGCTGGTAAAAGGCCGCTAAGAGCACGCTGAAATCGGAGGTTGGGGCTGAGAGTGGCAGATGTCACAGCCTAGCTAAAACCCCAACACAGCGTACTATAGTCAGTTCCAAATTCGTGCCCAACTTTAAAAAATCTGTAGCTCAGTAACTGTTCGCTGCAAGTTGTTGAAATTTGGCATAAAACCTATTATTATTAATTTCCTGGAAATTTTTTTAAAAGTGTCAACATACATCTAGTTTACATTTTGCCTTATTTGTGCTTTTTCACACACACACACACACACAAAAGACAAACAAACAGCAACTGATCTAAGGCAAAATCATCATGCTTGCACCTAATTGAGTAACGAAAACTTGTCAAAACAACGAACTGCACTGGTTTCATATATTCTCAGGTGGTCGTCTCTAGCATTAGTCTCTTGTGAGATATGTAAACAGTTTGTTTTACCGTATGCGGGATAGTCTATCAAAATAATCACCATATCGCTTGCAAAAAAAGAAAATCACGCCTGCGTAAATTACTATAATTCTAGTTTTTAGGGACATACAAATTATTTGTCAAAAATGAATCGAAGAAATTCGCCACTCTAAGAAAACAGCAGCGCCTGTGTAATGTGAATCATAAAATCATAAGAAATTTGTGAAATCTAAGACCACCAAAAATTTGTGATGATCCGTACAGTGGTTTTTTGAGATATTTTTTAAAGTGAGGACACGAATTCTGAATGACACTATGACCACAATTCTAGATGCGACCAAAGAAGAAGAAGAATCTACACAAAGAGTTAATCAAAGAGACAAGTAACAGTGCTATTACTCACCAGTATGTGTCCTTTTGTGAATTTTAAGGTTTTCCGACCTGGCGAAGACTTTGCCACATCCAGGAAAGGGGCATGGAAATGGCTTCTCTCCCGTGTGGACTCTGACATGGTTGACAAGTTTGTATTTTGCCTTAAACGGTCGGCCATCCCGAGGACAACCCTGCCAATAACAGGCGTGGTTGGCCTGCTCAGGGCCGCCCACGTGCTCCACCGTTATGTGAGTGACTATCTCGTGCATTGTCGTAAAGATCTTGCTGCAGGGTTTTCGTGGTTCCGGTTGGTCCTGATCCAGCCACTGGCAGGTGTGTTCCTGTTTGATGGGGTGCCTCATGAAGGGGTAGAAGGCCCCTGGCCCGTGGGGGCCCATGTTCATTCGGTGATGGCCCATAGCGTTCATGTGGTTTAAATGCTGAGGAGGTCCGAAGTGGTCGGGGCGAGGGGGGCCCATTTGGTTGAACTGATCTACACGGGGATACGAAAACATCTGCCCGTTAACGTGGTGTCCAGCACTGTGATCTGAGAGTCCAGGGAAAAGAACGTGACTAGCTGAAGAATCCGGGTGGTGGGATGGGTGAAGACCCATGCTGACAGACGACGGGACCCCGAACATCCCTGGGTGGTGACCCACGTTGGGTTCGTGTCCTGGAAGGTTGAACTGCTCTGCCCGTCGTATAAGAAAGTCTCTTGCGGCATAGCTGGAGATTTGAGAATGATGACCATGGTGCCCCATGCCGTAGCCATTTGTCTGGGCAGCAAACTGGTTGTGGTGCAGACCTGCTGTGGGGTCCCCCATATGGTTATTAGGGCTCAACTTTAGGGCGCCGTGGGCCAGGCTGTGGTGCCCCGGGCCCGTATCCATAAAGGGATTGATCATCATGTTGAAAGGGAAGTAACTGGAATTCAACGTGACTATAATTTCAGCCGATCAGACGAAGCATCAAGTGTGAAACTGCTCTGGCAAATCCAGAAAACTGGTATCCACCTATTGGATAATTCGTGGATGAAGAAACAGAAAAAAAAAAACACATTAGAATAAATAATTAACAACATTACCGATATGGCACATAACTTTCAATTCAGCCAAGACAGCGATACCACACATTTTAATAATAATGCGTATAAAAATAATAACAATAATATAATAATAATATTGATAATAATATTGGTAGACAGAGAGACACATGGACAAGCAGACAGAGACAGATGGACAGACAAACCATCAGCAGACAGTCAGGCAGGCACCGGTAGACAGACATACTCGTTAGCAGGTCCATATTTAAACTTGACGAGGCTCTAGGGCTTTATTAAGCCCCCGCCGTTTCAAAAGACACAAGATAGTCTCAGTAAACTTGAAAATATTTACGCCCTTTATATACATGGATACAGGAAATATACTGTCGTTTTATTTTTATTAAAAGAAGGAAGTAATAATATATAAGAAAACTCCACAGTGGAGCATACACAGCTGGAGTCTACCAGTCATCAGTAGAAGATCCTCCATCGACGATTGTTTCGGCCCGTTACAATGATGAACAATCTCGGAAGGTGGGCCAACCTGGGTCATGACGCCATTATCTCCTGCTGCGCTTAATCGGACACGCATAGACGAGACGAAGGGGAATCAACAGGTACTTTGGTGAGATTTGGTTCTTTTATCGTCGTTGTGTCGCCCATATAATAACTTGCACCTTACATAGAGAGTTAACAAAAGGTGGACGTTGAGGTATACCACGCAGCTGACTGACTGACGCTCAACTCCACCAGGACATCACAGCCAACGATAAACACCCGGTGACACAAAAGTGCCAAAGTTCAGTTAAGGATCACCCGGGGACAGGTCCCAGAAACCCCGTTCACACCAAAGTTTGGGTAATATTAAGGTCCCCCCGGAAGCAGCCAGTGTGGGCTTTAAAACAAAGACAAAAACAAACAAAATCAAACAAATTGTGTCTGACATTGGGACACAGTTGCATAAGACAATAAAGCTGTTTATTATATTCAATTTAAAAAGGTTACAAGTTGGAATTTTAAAACCCTGAAATAATGTAAAGTAAATTCACCTTTTCCAAGCTTCAGGCATATAGGGCATAGAGATCTAGACCTATATTTTATAGACCAATCGGCACAAGATGGGTGATGGGTCAGCATAACGCCGACCGCCTTTACTTCTCAGGACTCCACCTAGTACCCACTCAAGGCTCGGTCGACCTGGTAGCCAAGGTCATTTTTTTGAAAATAGTCCGGCTTCGCCAGGGAGCGAACCCACGACTTTCCGAGCTGCGGCGAGTGCCCTACACTGATGTAGGCACAATCAGATTAAAAAAAAAAAAATGAGAACATTTAAGTAGGCTCAAAGTGGTCAAGGAAAATAAGCAGATAAAGGAGAGAAAGAAAGAACGAAAGAAAGAAAGAAAGAAAGAAAGAAAGAAAGAAAGAAAGAAAGAAAGAAAGAAAGAAAGAAAGAAAGAAAGAAAGAAAGAAAGAAGAAAGAAAGAAAGAAAGAAAGAAAGAAAGAAAGAAAGAAAGAAAGAAAGAAAGAAAGAAAGAAAGAAAGAAAGAAAGAAAGAAAGAAAGAAAGAAAGAAAGAAAGAAAGAAAGAAAGAAAGAAAGAAAGAAAGAAAGAAAGAAAGAAAGATAAAAAAAAGAAAGAAAGAGAGAAAGAAAGAAAGTATTAGACAGAGAGAGGGGGGGGAAGAAAGAAAGAAAGAAAGAAAGAAAGAAAGAAAGAAAGAAAGAAAGAAAGAAAGAAAAAAGAAAGAAAGAAAAAGAAAGAAAGAAAGAAAGAAAGAAAGAAAGAAAGAAAAGAAAGAAAGAAAGAAAGAAAGAAAGAAAAAAAAAGAAAGAAAAAGAAAGAAAGAAAGAAAGAAAGAAAGAGAAAGAATGTCCTGAGAAAGAAAGAAAAAAGAAAGAAAAAGAAAGAAAGAGAGAAGAGTAAAGGAAAGAAAGAAAGAAAGAAAGAAAGAAAGAAAGAAAGAAAGAAAGAAAGAAAGAAAGAAAGAAAGAAAGAAAGAAAGAAAGAAAGAAAGAAAGAAAGAAAGAAAGAAAGATAAAAAGAAAGAAAGAAAGATAAAAAGAAAGAAAGAGAGAAAGAAAGAAAGTATTAGACAGAGAGAGGGGGGGGGGGGAAGAAAGAAAGAAAGAAAGAAAGAAAGAAAGAAAGAAAGAAAGAAAGAAAGAAAGAAAGAAAGAAAGAAAGAAAGAAAGAAAGAAAGAAAGAAAGAAAGAAAGAAAGAAAGAAAAGAAAGAAAGAAAGAAAGAAAGAAAGAAAGAAAGAAGAAAGAAAGAAAGAAGAGAGAAAGAAAGAAAGTATTAGAGAGAGAGAGGGGGGGAAAGAAAGAAAGAAAGAAAGAAAGAAAAAAAAGAAAGAAAGAAAGAAAGAAAGAAAGAAAGAAAAAGAAAGAAAGAAAGAAAGAAAGAAAGAAAGAAAGAAAGAAAGAAAGAAAGAAAGAAAGAAAGAAAGAAAGAAAGAAAGAAAGAAAGAAAGAAAGAAAGAAAGAAAGAAAGAAAGAAAGAAAGAAAGAAAGAAAGAAAGAAAGAAAGAAAGAGAGAAAGAAAGAAAGTATTAGAGAGAGAGAGGGGGGGAAAGAAAGAAAGAAAGAAAGAAAGAAAGAAAGAAAGAAAGAAAGAAAGAAAGAAAGAGAGAAAGAAAGAAAGTATTAGAGAGAGAGAGGGGGGGAAAGAAAGAAAGAAAGAAAGAAAGAAAGAAAGAAGAAAGAAAGAAAGAAAGAAAGAAAGAAAGAAAGAAGAGAAGAGAAAGAAAGAAAAGAAAGAAAGAAAGAAAGAAAAAAGAAAGAAAGAAAGAAAGATATTTTTTTAAAAAGAAAGAAAGAGAGAAAGAAAGAAAGTATTAGACAGAGAGAGGGGGGGGGGAAGAAGAGAAGAAGAAAAAGAAAGAAAGAAAGAAAAGAAAGAAAGAGAAAGAAAGAAAGAAAGAAAGAAAGAGAAAGAAAGAAAGAAAGAAAGAAGAAAGAAAGAAAGAAAGAAAGAAAGAAAGAAGAAAGAAAGAAAAGAAAGAAAGAAAGAAAGAAAGAAAGAAAGAAAGAAAGAAATAAGAAGAAAGAAAGAAAGAAAGAAAGAAAGAAAGAAAGTATTAGAGAGAGAGAGGGGGGGAAGAAAGAAAGAAAGAAAGAAAGAAAGAAAGAAAGAAAGAAAGAAAGAGAGAAAGAAAGAAAGTATTAGAGAGAGAGAGAGGGGGGGAAAGAAAGAAAGAAAGAAAGAAAGAAAGAAAGAAAGAAAGAAAGAAAGAAAGAAAGAAAGAAAGAAAGAAAGAAAGAAAGAAAGAAAGAAAGAAAGAAAGAAAGAAAGAAAGAAAGAAAGAAAGAAAGAAAGAAAGAAAGAAAGAAAGAAAGAAAGAAAAAGAAAGAAAGAAAGAAAGAAAGAAAGAAAGAAAGAAAGAAAGAAAGAAAGAAAGAAAGAAAGAAAGAAAGAAAGAAAGAAAGAAAGAAAGAAAGAAAGAAAGAAAGAAAGAAAGAAAGAAAGAATACTTCTGCAATAATTCCTACAGTAACAGTAATGAGAAGGCTTAACTCTCAGATTTGTTTATCCTGTCCTAGACTAGACAACAAGAGAGAAAGATCCTTCTACCATCAGCGCTTTTTCCGCCTCTTCAACAACCGCCAAAACTCACCGACAAAATGGTTGCACCAGATGTCGAACGCCCGTTTGCTGCAGAAGCAGGAAGCAAGGAAATGCTAGAAAAATGTTGCAGGAAAATAGAAACGAAACGAAACAGAAAAGCCGGCCCTCTAGAGCTGACAGTGAGCGCGTTGATCGTATTATCGTGAGCGCAACTAATTGCGCACGGCAATGCCCCTCTGGTCTTGTTTTGTTGTTTTAAATTACATGTTTTAAAAACATCTGTCATTTTGATTGTGTTTGCTGTCGATGTGGTCCCGGCGAAGCAACAATATTGTTTTCTTCTGCGAGTTGGCCATGGCGTGGCTTGTTGAAGAGGGGCTCTATCTTGGTTGTGTTTCAATCAATCAGGTGCGTGGTGGCCACTGGTGGCTCTTGCAGAAGCACTGCGAAACTACAGCACCCATATTTTTAACTCAATATCATCTATATTGATGACTATAATTTGTGAATTTTTTCATGAATTTATTCTGTATTTGAAAAAAAAAAAAAAAAAAAAAAAAAAAAAAGTTTCCCATGCCCTCTGACGTATTGGGTATGTAGGACCATATTTTATAGTCCAACCGAAACGAGGTGGGTAATGTGGTCAGCATCACCCCGGCTGTAATCACTTTCTAGGACTTTATCTGGTACCCACTGAAGCTAAGTTAACATGGGGACCAATGTAATTTTTTTTTTTAAAGAACAACTCCGTTTGGATTTGAACCCACGGCTTTGGAATCCGAAGACGAACGCCTAGTCGCTTCACCAAGACGGTCCCTGTCACTATTTTCCTGTCTATCTCTGAGGTTGTTTACCCCACAGGCTGCTTTTTATCCATCTCGTTATTCTGACCTCACATAGTATCGTTAGCCCGGTTTGGTGACGTCAGTCTCCAGCCCGTTAGATGGAGATGGCCGTGGCCTTTACAATAGACGTTTTTACACCCGCGGCAACCCAAGACAGGGGAACTAGTTCCATGGCCCACGTGACAGCAGTCCAGACACAGAAACAAAAACAAATGTAGATTGCAGTTTTGTCCTTCAATCCGATGTCCCAGAAGTGCGATTGTCAGCCAAAGCGATATTCGCTGCTGCTAAGAAGTTGGACAGTTTGATATGTGTCACGTACAAAGTCTCACTCATCATGCAGCAATGCAGGGCCGGAATTAAGTAACCGCTTAATGTTTTTGGCGGCCCACCCAGACATTTCTGCGGTCCACCGGTGGTCCTCGCCTACTGCTTGAAGAACACTGCGTTA